AGAACAGTAACAACCCAAGAGTTGTTTCCAGTTACTGAATGAGGTCATTCAGAGTCTGGCACATAATGAAAGCTCCAACGGTTTTAGCTGTTATTAGTAATTGTAATTATGATTCTCAGATTTTCACTTATGATTTCATGAAGTAGGTAGTATCATTCTCAACTTACAGTTGAAGAGGTGTCTAACCAGAAGGTCGTGACTCCCAAATTTACACCTCAAATCTAGTTTTCATACTTTTCTTACTCCATACGTGAATCTTATATGAGGTTTTCCTATCTCAATTTGACATGTTCATATAGCACTTAATATGTAATACTAATTTGGTAGTCACTTATCAATTCATTCAATCACCATTTATTGAGATCCTACTGTCAGGCCATGGGGGAAGAAAGACAAGTTCTTGTCCTGAAAAAGCCACTTCATTGGGGGCACTGGAGTGGCTCAGTCTGTTAAACATCTGACTCCTGATTTTTTGGTTCAGGTGATGCTCTCACGGTTGGTGGGATCAAGGTCCGCATCAGGCTCTACACTGCCAGCACAGAGCCTGCCTGGGATTCTCTCTCCTTCTCTGCTCCCTTCCCCAAAATAAACTTAAAAGTAATAAAAAAATAATAATAAAAAGCCACTTCACTTCTAGGGAAGATGAGCAAGTTAAGAGAGAAATTCTAGCTTGTTATCAGGGCTTTGAAGAAAACCAGTGGTATAGAAAACACTTCTAGGTAATACTTGGGCTAAGACACAAAGGTGGGGAGAACCAGCCATGCAAAAGAATATTCCAAGCAAAAGACGTCAAGTGCCTGCAAGCAGAAAAAGGCTAGGTGACAGGAAGGACTAAGCCAGGGGTGAGTGGCAAGTTGAGGGTAAAAACAGGCAAATGCTCAATCACGACTTGTAGGCTCTCAGAGGCCAATACGTACCCAAGCCTTTTTTTTTTTTTAAAGCCACTATTTATGTACAATTCTTAAGTGCGTATGTTTTAAGTGTGAGTTTGGGAAATGTTTGTATGTATGTCAACACCTTTCTGGGGGTACCTGTGTGGCTGTCAGTTAAGCATCGGTCAAGCACCTCGATTTTACTTCAGGTCACATGGTCTCAAGGTTCTTGAGTTCAAGCCCCGCCCCTGCATCCAGTTCTGTGCCGGACTGTGTGAAGCCTGCTGGGATTCCCCCTCCCTGTCCCTCCTCTCAAAATATAAACAACAAAAACCTGAGGCATAGGCTCCCCACACCCATCACTGGTCCCAATAAAACATTTGTTGGCACTAGATTCTAGTGTAACATAAACTGAACCATGTATTATGTGCGATTTTGTGTCTGGCCTCTTGCTCTCATGTTGAGATTCATCCTCCTCCATTGTTGATCAGTTGTTCATTCTTATTGCCAAGTAGTACTCACCAGTGTGGACATGCAATTAGTCTGTCAAAGGCTTTGAAACTAAGGGTCAAAATCCATTTTTTCAAAAGGTTACTGTAGATAATAATGAGTTGGAATGTTCCAATTGTGGCAGTGAGGGAGGCCAATGCAGGCCACTACAGTTTGGGCTACATGCCTGTGTGCTAATTCAGTTCCCAGCTGTAATAAGCCAGTAATACCCCCTTGTTGTCTTCCGCAGAACTGAAAATTTAAAGGGAGTTGAGAATGTGTATTGACTGCTAGTACAATGGGATGTTAAGTCCAACAGGACAGTTAACTGTTTTGCTTACTTACTAATCCTAAACACTTAGAACTTTGGGACACAGTATACATTTAATTATTTTAGATTCCTCCCATCTCTTTTTCAAGAGTGAAAGTAAATTAACATCTGACATCTTTTTTCCCACTTCTCCCCAACGTAAGACTGTAAAATAAAGTATTTTGGAGACAGATGGGAGAACCTCCAGCCTAAGAATCCAGGACAGAGCCTCAAGCCTTCAACAGCATCAAGTAGTTTGGTTAAGAGCAGACCCTTAACACAGATGAGCCTCAACAATTTTCTCAAAACCAGCACTTAGAACTTTCACAGCATTAAACAGGACCTCTAACTGCCAAATTCATGAGTCAGGGAGCAGCAACTGGCTCTTTGGCAAGAACTGGCTGGAAGGTAGCCTTAGACTTTCTGAAATAACATTAACCCTTTACTGTTAACTATACTGGAATTAAAAAACTCAACAAAATAAAAAATTTTAACCCCTTTATCTCCAGAGCCCAGACCACTACCTTTGATTCAGAGCATCAGTGCACGTGACCCTCAACTTTTCTTGGACAATTTCAAAAAGCCCCACAACCTAGACATTTTCTCTCCCCTCATTAAGCTAGTGGTTGTCAGCCAAAAAAGTTACAGTGAAATACCAATACAGGATTTCAGGATACTTAAAACTCAATACACTTCCAGAGGTTACCAGAACATCAACCCATCCTGAAAACTGGTAAGTGAAAAGAATAAAACATTAAAATATATTTTTCAAAGTCAGGTACAAAGGGAAACAATTAAAGTGGGGATTTTAAAAGAAATGTCTGCTGAACAGTGAATGGTACTGCTAAGAACTAAGCCATTAAACATTCATATTCAGCAGACTGGCTTAAGGAAGAGAAATAGAATTATTCCATCAAAAAGTACTAAATATAAAAAGTATTACTCCTGGCAAATCCAGAAGTTCTCAAAATTAAGAACAAAGCAGCTTCTCTTACAGGTCCCTCTACTATGAATCAAAAAAGATTAGTATTAGGGACAAAGGAAAATAATTGTTTTTTTCGTATTTATCTTAGAAAACTAAAAATGTGGGGTGCCTGAGTTAAGCACCTCGTGATTTCATCTCAGGTCATGACTGAGCCCCATATGTTGGGCTGCATGCTGGACATGGAGTCTGCTTGAGATTCTCTCTCCCCCTCTGCCTCTCTGCCCGGCTGGTGCTCTAACATAAAACTCACTATTTTTTAAAAGCTAAATATGCTTTAAAACTTTAGTTTTCCCAAAGTACCTCATTTGTTTTTAGCAATTAAACCAATATTGATCTAAGTACGGCCAATGTCACTTAATAATTTGCACTCCTTGAAAAGGAGGAATTTCTAGTCATAAGCCTTACCGTATTTAGTTGGCTGAGGTCTAGAACCAAGCACTATTAGTGACTTTTGAGGCACATGACATACCTGGAATCTTTACTGAAGATGGATCTGATTAGTTTTATCTTAGGAGCAAGAACAGGGTACAGGGTCACCAGTAAGGCCAACCTAAGAGTGGGGAGTAGTGCTTTTGATTTTCCTGCTACATTCGTACCCATGAAATAATAAACCCAAGTGTTAACTTCTACACAAAGCTACTCAAATAAACAAATCAGACCTACGTTTTGGAGACATAATGCAAAAGTACACTTCTACTTTTGAACATTTTAAGTAACTAATTACCTAATATACTCCCATATCACATTCTGCAATGTAAATCACTACCTAGGAAAGAAACGACAACTCTAATGTATTTAACTCATGGTAGCACTATTTTACACCAGTAAGTTTTAAAAAATCACGTGTAGCTTGTTTTGGAATTCTATCAACTTCATGATCTTTTAAACATTAATATAAACATCCTTTAAGCCAAAGGCACTGTTCAGTGAAATGAAGAACAATGAACATTCACCATTTCCATTGGAGTCTCCATTAACAATGGTATAAAATGAGAAACTACAAGGATAGACCTCCTGGAGCGAGGAAATGGAACACTCAATGAAGAAAAACAAAACCTGAAGTAAACGACTAGAAGAAGCACCTAACCCCTGGAAACTGGGATTAGAAAGACAGTACAGCACCAACCTTTTCCCCACCTCCCAAAATAAGGTTACTGTACCAAAAACACTCAAGAAATTAAAAGGCTGGTGTTATCTGTTCATCCCATCAAAATATCTGCAACTGCAGCCTCATGAGCAAGAGCAATCCTCCTAATCAATATAAAAAAGACTGAGAGGTGAAAAAAAATGAGTAAACAATGCATGGGGTGAAGAGTTTCTTCAGACTTCAGATACTATGTCCCCAAACACCAAGGAAGAGCATTTGGAAGTTAAAAAAATAAAACACAATTTTGATGACATAAAATAGTCTCTTCTCCTAAAGTTTAAACAGAAAGGAATGAGGAAAAACATCCAAGAGAACCAAACAGAAGGCCTAAGAACGGATAGAAGTTAAGCAAGAGACTGAAATCTCCCAAGAAAATGGCCCCAAACTGGAAAAGTCTCTGGAGGACAGACCCAGTTTACCCAGGGCCCAGAATAAGACATAAAACTTTAGAAAACCAACAACAATCTTAATGAATTCTCAGAAAAACTGGTCATATACAAAAGAACACATGAAAACATCAGGAGGAGGACAAAAACGGCACAATTAAAATTCTAAGATTTAGCGGCACTGAACTTTGTTAAAAAGTGACTTTTCAGATTACATGTACTCAGAAAATACCTCCTCCATAGATTAGCAAACTACTGGATACACCACAACAAAACAAAAGAACAGTAATCTAACCATGACACCATCATGCAACTGGCACATGGTAAAATACAGATCCCAAGGATTAGCCTCTGAATGTCCTCATGTAACCACCACATGCAATAAATTAACTTTTCTCCCAAGGATCTAAAAATGTGTAAATTATGTGCTATTTTGGGCAAACTGAGAAAAAGGTCAACAGAATTCATTTTCTGTTCTGGTTTAGATGAAGAACCCAAGTTAAGAAAGCCTGCTACAAGCTGTTTAACATGCCAGATTTTACCAGTGAAAAGGCTGGGTATGTGGATAGGTGGCCTGACTGAACATCTGGAAACACGCCTGCATGACCACAATTATCAACCATTATCAGGAGGTAGGAAAGAAGCAGCATTAAATGCTCACGATGAAAAATTAAGAAGCAGGAACAATTTAAAGGGTTTAGGGCAAGGACTGTTTCTCAGGGGATTTTTAGGTGTTATCTGATACTTTTAACTATGTACAGCTAGTTCTTTGACAAAGTTTAAGGGTAAATAATAGAAAGAGAAACAGTGCTACTTTATTAAAATACTGAGTTTATTTCACATGTATATTTTTGTCTCCCCACCATTTCCATTTGTCTGACCACCACTACTACTATGTCCTATCATAACATTCCATACATACTTAAAACCAAGCAAAGGGTGGAGCTCCATCTTTAAAAACTAAACAGGCATTTTGGACAACACATTCTTGGCAATGGAACCTGGACAACATTTATCAGACACGGTAGGGAAAGTTCTCACTCTGCATTATAAAAAGGACAGCCAGATATCAACTGTTACAGAAATGAAATAAGACGGAAAATTTTAACAAACTGTTTAAACTATTTTCTTAAAGAGACTTCCTCCACTGCCAGAGATCTTGAATAGCCTGGAAAACAAAAAAAGAAATGTGGTTAAAAGAACCACAACACTTCACAGACACCAATAAATTAAACCATGTTTCTTTGTACAGTTCAACATACCTATTATTTTTCATCCTACCACCAAAAAGGTTCAACTCTAGATAATTAAGAACTGATTGCAAGGGAATTTATACTCAGACATGATTTACTTTCAAATACTTCAAAAAAGACAAAGTCATGTGAATCTTTGTAAACAAAGTCAATGGTACTAGTAGGCATTTAACAGCTTACATAAATGAAATGAAAGAGCAGAGAGGCCAGTTTGGCCAATGCTGCCTATGTCCTCTGCTCAGGGCTGCCAGACTTAGCACATAAAAATACAGAAAATGCAGTTAAATAAGATTTCTGTTAACACAGTTACATATACTTAGTTCTAAGCCTGTAGAACACATATGAAAATATTATGTGTACTTGAAATACACTAGATTAACTACTCAGCCCTTGTTCTTATCTGATTTGTTAAAGCACTTAAAACACCCGTCTTCTATTCTAAGGCATCACCTGCTTTTCCATTCCTTAAATGTAAGGATTTAAATGTTGTCTACTGACAAAAAAAAAAAAAGCATCCCTCCACTTCTACGCCTTACTTCAATACATGAAATCTATACTTGTTCTCATACTAGTATGAACATCCATGCGAAAGAATTATTCTTCAAATGAGTCATGATTAAGTATAGTTGTTATACACTTCAAGTTCGCATTTCATTTCCTATCCATAAATAATGTTCTTTTAAGTCCCGGGGTGCCTGGCTGGCTCAGTCAGTGTAGCATGTGACTCGATCTCAAGGTTGTGGGTTCAAACCCTGCATTGGGTAGAGAGATTACTCCAAAATAAAACCTTTTAAAAAGTAAATAGATAAAAAATAGTCTTGATGTTTGTCAATTCTTTACAGGATTCAACAAATTCCTTTAAAACAATAAAATACAGGTCAGTGAGTTCTTTGAATATCTCTGAATTTACATAATCCTGCTAAACAGTCATTTAAAACTAAGAAAGTAACCTTTATTTGATGTACTATTTAAAAAATGTCACTAAGAACATTTACAGCCTCTTCTCCCAAAATATGATTTTAGTGCTTCAAATACATAGGATTGATTCTCTCAACTACTGTTTTTCAACAGCCACTGGGTTTCAAATGCAAGGGAAATGAATATCAAATGTTGAGAGTCTCATAAAATCTTCCTGGTCACTCAGAATTTTGTACAATCAGTTTTGAGTAAACAATACCTTTAAATAAACATTTACCAAACTTTGATCTGTGGTTTCTCCACAAAAAAACTACAGTTGTTTTCATTAGCTCTTAATTCAAGAGCTTATACAAAGACTTACTAGTATTTCTCAAGTCCCATCTGGAAGGGATTTTACTAGCCAAATCCTCATAAGCAACTTTTTCACAAGGAAAACTATACAAGCAATGGCAGTATTTTATACATTGTGATTACTTGTATATGTAGGCATGCCATAAAAACGTGAATCATTTAAACTTTGATAATCTCTACAACAATAAATGAAACTACTTTTTAATACTGTAGAAATTTCATCCTGGCACTTCAAAATATGCTTCCAGTTGTGTTTTTTATTTTAATTTTAGAAAGAGAAGAGAGCACATGTGTATGAGGGGAGAGGGGCAGAGAAAGAAAGAAGGAATCCAGGGCAGGCTCCACACTCAGGTCCACATGGGGCTCTATCCAACAACCCTGGATCATGACCTGAGCCAAAAATCAAGAGTCCGATGCTCAAACAGAGGCTGAGCCACCCAGGCACCTGCCCAGTATGCTTCCAGTTTTAGAGTCAGAAAATACTTCTGGTAACTGTGAATTCAGTTACTTTAGCTCCAAGACTGATACTATACCATTTGTGGAAGGCCTTTACAACTTTGGTTATTATTTTATCTTCTCTGAATTTTTCTTAATCACACACTTTATTTCACCACTTTCTTTGGTACTAGCGGGAGAAATCACGTCTTAGGCTTCCTTGTTAGTGCATGCATCTTTCCACTATTTGCAATACTGGACAATTGTATACTGCAGTTTCACAGACTTTTAACAAATGTCCAGTATTCAGAAAACTCACAGAATTCACTTGCATTTTGGGGTTCAAGTATAAATAAACAGAACAGCAACCAAAAGAGTAAAAACTTGAATTTCATCTCACAGCCTTATCAATCAAGGCTAACTTCCAAAGTAATAGTAAACAGTGTTGAAACACTGAAAAGGGTTTCAAATTGGAGAAAAATAGTGCTGCCATGTAAATGATTTAAGTGCTACCTACTGCTGCAGAAAATGACCTCAAAAGGACACATTTCATTTACTGAAAAAAGTTGGACACAGGAGGCTTAGGGATTGATTCCTGACAAAAACCATTTAACACAGCATATGTTCTGTATATACAAGATACCTAGCACCCTTACCTGTTTTTACATTTTCCTTACATTTGAGTCAGCAACCATAAGACAATAAAAATAAATGCATCAATTTCTACTAACAAAATAATATATAACACAAATTAACAGTTGATTCAAGCTACTACATTGAGTATTAACTACAATTTGACTTCTTGCTTCCTGATTTTACACATTAGGTCGATTTCAGCAAAATGTGTTTCCCAAGCACACAAAAAAGCAAAAGACCAGACTACCTCAAATAGTCAAATGGAGCAAGGAAACCACAGCACATTTCTTTAGCCAACAGAGTAAAACTGCGCTCAGTAACGAAGAGATAATTTACCAACTATATAAAAACTGAGAAAAATGTACTAAGTTATCTTCTCAATCTCTGCCAACTAAATTCTTAAGAGTTTCCATGTACGTAATCTGAAGTGTAATAGTCTGTGGTTAGGAACCTTTTAAAAGAAGCCAACACTTAAAGAAAATAATCATAAATAAATCACAATAAAAAATTTGGATCTGGTCAGGTCTCCTGAAAATTCAGTTACCTCTTGGTCAGTCATCCGGAAGCAATTCTTCACATAATTGATGAACTTGGCTTCCACTTTGGGAAGAGAACCACCCTAGGAGACAAAAGCATTATTGCGTTTAAGTATAGGAACACTGTTTTTGAGATATTATGAAATTCCTCACAGATCTGCATACTCTTACATGGACCATTGGTTCCTTGCCCCTTCAACTCTTTCATTTTAATAATACTGAGTTTTTAGGCCCAGAAAGACCTATTAGGCAACAATATTTAGAACATGAGTCTTTCATAGTACTCCTATATTGATAGGTTTGTCAAAATTTCAAATTCTCTCCAACCACCCTAAAAATATAAAATATGAGCTACAACAGATTCTCAGGCACTCAAATGTGTCAGCTTGACTGCCTACTCTATTATATACTACCCCAAACTAAATGTAAAGCAAATGTATACCCCTTGAGTACTGCAAAGAGATCAAAACTGAACATCACTTAATACATACTAAGAACCTAAGTCCAGCACGCTAACCTGGAAGTCAGTTCAAGAGGTATATGAAGTCCAAACGGGAGAAAAATTAGTCCTACATTTCACTCACTGATCTCTAAAACTTGGCACCTCCTTCAGTTATAGACATAGGGGATGAATCACAACAGTACTAACACCAAGTTATTTTCAAAATATTTCATCAAATATTTTCAAAGACTGCAATTACTGCAAATATCTTGCGGTTTACAGTCATTTCTACTTTTGAATTATCTTATTTAACATACTAAGTATATCGTCTCTGTTCCTTATTTTGGTAACTAAATTTTACTTTTTCTTATAACCTGAAACATCTATGCGTTTTAAAAAGACCAAGGTTTCAGAATGCCAAAGGAATCATAGCACAAAATAACTGATCAGAAATATGGTATGGGATTCTTAAATTGCCTCTATAACCTAGAAAATAAACCTGTCATTTCCATTTTCAAATTATTTGCCACATACATTCTTATTTGATTCATTCAAATATTTATTGAGCAGCTAAGGAGATACAAACAAAGGTGATTAAAACATGGTCAAAGAGGTGAGGCAAATGCACAAATCATAGAAGGTATAATGTTCACTGAATCACAGCAGCCAAAAGAAAGTGCTTTAGGAGACTAAGAATGAGATTGCTTCCAGCCTGGAAGGGGGCGTGGGTGGGTGGCAAATCAGGAAAGGAGATTTGAGATTAAAATAGAAGACTTCAGTCTGGATTGTTGATGACACTCAGTATGGACTACATTTCTCTCTCCTTTTCCTCTCTCCCCAGCTTGGGGCTTAATTTACCAGTAGTGCCCAGGACTGTTCAATTCGCCTGTAATTAAACCAAGGAGATAGGTCCATATTAAAATGGGGGGGGAGGGTTATCTAAAAAGGTCATTTTAGCACTGTGTGAAAGGGATAAATATAAAGCAGTGACACCAGAAGACTAGAAAGGTTTACAGTATTACTAAAGCAAAAACAATACGTAATACATTCTGCTTCTAAATGTTATTTTTCCAACTGACTCTTCACTACACAAGGAAATCTACTGAAGCCAGGTAGAACCTAGAAAACACAGGAAAAACATGGGCAAAGGAGCAACTTTTCCTCACCATCCCACGTTTATTCTCAAAAACTGGGGTCTAATATTATATCTCTCAGAATTCTAGCTTTTCTCAAATGTTTGAATACATTTAAATTGATTATTCCATTCCATTTTCTACAAGTCCAAATTCACTAGTTTAAGAAGTTTAGTTCTCCAGTCAAGTAAGCAGCAGGATGAGAGCAAATTTCTTGTTTCCACTATTTAAGACAAAAGGCAACTAAATGTAAGCGTATTGGTCAAAGATCCACATATATTGACTGGTAATACCTTGGTGTAAAAGGCAAATAAAAGGACTCAAATTAGGAGGTTTTTTTTTTAACTATACCAAGCAACCAGCAGCTTGCAATTTTATAAGACTCATACGCCCTCTGCTGGTTCTGTAGCATCTTACAAAAAGAAAAGAAAACGTTCTCATTGAATCTTTAACATCCGAAGTCAGAGACAAATCTTAAAATCAACTTACTTGTATTTCTTTTATGAAAGAATATATATGTAACTTCAAATACGCAAAAAAAAAAAAAAAAAAAAAAAAAAATCACTGAGACTAGAAATGAATGTAAATAACAAGTAATACACTTCTGAAAACCAAGAGCACATAAGGGACAGATAGATACATCAAGGAAAAACAATAAGGAACAATCTTGTTCCAAGCCTTCACAATGGTGTTTAAGAGAGGGGGAAATATACCTTTATCAAGTTTCTTCAGGAAAGATCATTTTACTCACTTTTTCTATACTTGCTTGCATTTTTGCTTTAATGTCTTCTACAGAACTAGGTCCTTTCGGTGTTTTGGGAGTCTTTTCCTGTTTTTTGAAAGATTCTTGACCCTGAAAAACAAGTTGAATTTCGAAAGGTTGTAAGTGTATACACTTACATATACTGTTAAAACCCATCCTACATACATGTTCTCAAGAAAAGCATTATTTACATACAATCCTTCCTTGTAAAATGTATACAACCAGAATTCAGGTATCATAAATTAATTCATGACTGAACAATTATATTTTTAAAATCGTTCCTTAAAAAATAGAATAGTTTGAGTTTGCTTTTATATTTCACATCAGATTAGTTCACACTTAAAAAGGATACCATCAAAATTGAGGCTCCAAGAATTAAGCAAGTCAATGCAGCTAGATGCCTGATACCCATTCCCATAGCTTTTAAATAGTAACCTCCAAGACCAGGTATTGTGGTTCCTTTAAGCTGCTATTAGGTTCTAACATGCAGCCAGGGTTGAGAAACTCTGCTATGCCATAAATAATATCTTTCAACAAATAAGATTCCTTACAGGAGACAACTCTAACACAATAAAATCTTTGTGCTGGCTTTCTCTTCCACTAGAATGCCAGAAATGATACATACAGGATAATGATTACCAACAAGCATATTTTAGTGCTTTAAGACATCAATTACAAGTGTTCTCCAAGCACTATCAAATTTCAGACTACCTTCTTCCACAGAACTTTTAACTTTCCTAACTACTTCAACAAAGGCTGTGTTTAGGTATATGATGCCACTCACTTTTGATCTTGGTGTTGATGGTTTTGAGTCTTTTCCATTCTGGTTAGATTTTTGTGCATTTTTGGCTGGAGTATCTCGTATAGACTGCAATTATAAATTAATCTTAATCAATGCCCTCCTACGTAACTGCCCCAAATCATATAAAAGTAGTAGTAGTTTGCTAAAACCAAAAAAAAAAAAAAAAAAAAAAAAAAAAAAAAAATTCTGACCAAAGTTTTAAAGTGGAAGAGGCCACATGGGTAAAAAAAGTAGATCACTGTCCACTACTAGGAAATCTTAAGACTACCCCAACTCAGGGCTAATTTTTAAATTTTTTTTTTCAACGTTTATTTTTGGGATAGAGAGAGACAGAGCATGAACGGGGGAGGGGCAGAGAGAGAGGGAGACACAGAATCGGAAACAGGCTCCAGGCTCTGAGCCATCAGCCCAGAGCCCGACGCGGGGCTCGAACTCCCGGACCGCGAGATCGTGACCTGGCTGAAGTCGGACGCTTAACCGACTGCGCCACCCAGGCGCCCCATGGGCTAATTTTTAAAGTATTAGATCATTAACTCCTCCCAAGCCAGCTTTCATTAACTACAAGTGAAGAGCACAAAAATTTATCTATCATCATTTGTTACTAGCAACTTCTGGCAACCCTGTACCATTGTATCCTACTTACTTTTTTTACTGGAGCCTTTTCTTCAGCTTCCTCATCATCAAAATCATCATCATCATCACTACAAATGAAATGAGTCATTATTACTGATTCAACGCACTCATAAACCAAGAAGCTTATGTAGAAACTGGCTACGAACCAATTTCATAGAAGAGCCGATGAATCAATAAGTTTAGACAATCAAATCAAGGTGTTAAGAAATTTTGAACTTTCTGGAATTGACAAAAAGAACTGAAAGCAGGATCTTAAGAGATATTTGTCCATTCATCATCATTATAGCATTATTCACAATTTCCAAGAGGTAGAAGCAACTCACATATCCATTAACAGTCAAACAGATTTTTAAAATGTTCTATATATTTAATGGAATATTTGAGGTTTTTTGACAGTTATCACAATTTACATTCTTGGAATATTCTGTTTTAATGAATTCCTGTCACATGCTGAAGATGAATAAATCTTGAGGACATTAACTGAAAAAAGACAGTCACAAAAAGAAACATACTGTACAATCCCACTTAACACATCAAAAGTAATCTTTATACTCTTTATAGAACCAAAGGTAGAATGGTGGTTGCCAGGGGCTGAAGATAGAAATGAGTGGTTTTCATGAGATTTTCAGTATTACTACAAGAGTTTGAGACCTGTCAAACAATGTGAATATGGATAACATTCCTGAACTGTACACTTTAAAAAAAAACATGGTTAAAATGAGAATTATGTTTTTACAATTAAAAGGCATAAAAATTTTACAAAGTGGAGATTATAGTTTAAAGAAATTAAAATAAACACATCTAACGTTCACAGATCAGTAGAAATATTTTACTGAGGTGGCAACTCTATTAATCTACAGGTTCATCAAAATCCTTGAGTCCCTGCTGGCTTCTCTATAGAAACTGATCCTAAAATTTGCATCAAAATTCAAGGAACCGAGAGCAGCCAACAACAAACTTGAGAAAGAACAAAGTTAGGATTCAGTATTTTCAAAAGAAACCCACAAGAACTACAAACCAGGACAATTGTTTTAGCAGAAGGATAGACCTATATCAGTAAAATTCAAGAGTTGAAAGGCTAATAAATAGTGCTGGGAAAACTAGAAATCCACATGCAGAATTTTAGTTAGTCCTCTACCTCACACCATGTACAAAAACTGATTCAAAATGGACCAAGGGTCTAAATTTTTAGGTTTGACACCAAAAGCACAAGCTAACAAACTGGACTTCATAAAACCTTAAAAAAAAATGTAAGCTAATATAACACTGTGTTGTCAACTATGCTTCAATAAAAAAAAAAAAAAAGAAAAAAGAAAAAAAGAAAAAAAAAAAATTTTTGTGCAAAGGATACCACTGAAGAGTGGAAAGAATGGAAGAAAATATTTATGAATTGTATGTATCCGATAAGGGACTTGTCCCAAAACATTAAAAGAAAACTAACACTGGGATACCTAAGTGGCTCAGTCAGTTCAGCTCAGATCATGATCCCACAGTTCTGTGAGTTTCAGCCCCACATGGGACTCTGTGCTGACAGCTGGGAACCTGCCTGAGATGTGTTCTCTCTCCCTCAGCCCCTCCCCAGCATGCCCACGCTCTCTCAGAAATAAACAAAAAAAAACCCCTCTTAACTCAGTAATCTAGAAAAAAATCAAGACACAAACCTTGGATTGTGAGTAACTTGTTCTGTGAGCGTTCCACAAGATGAGCAAACATGTCTATAATAAATTAACTTGATAAACCAGTGACGTCTGTAGTTTAAGAATAGTACGTGACACCAAACATCCTATCTCACAACTAAACCAATGGTTCGCTCTGTAGGATTGGGGGTGATTGTCTCCTATGCTCGGATGATTGGTCTCAGGCCGCAGTGTTTGGTAGAAATCAGTGATTTTTCAAAATGTTGGAAGGTGCCCACAACTAGCACTAGGGTATTTTTTGTCACTTCAAAGCGCCTATGGACAATCCTTTGCTCCTTTGTTTCATTCTAGGTCAGGCTGCCGGCAGATACAGACCCTTTCCTCTGCTGCTTTATTGCCAGTTACACTAAATACAATAGATGACAAGTTTATTAATACTGTACTGTAAAAAAGATTCCACTGAGCCAATAGATAGCAGTGATGCCATTACTGGTAGTGAAAGTCATCCTACACAATAACCCTCCTCTCGTCTCCCTCACACCAGCTATGAAGGTTTTCCAAGTGCAGGTTAAATTCTCTTTATGTTTTGTATTCTTTATTATTTTTGTATTATATTCCAGTATTACAATCATTTTCATATGAATATTTTTGCATTGTGGGGTGAATCATCTGAGTTTCCACTATTTCTTATGAGGAAATTCACTGATCTATGAGTGCAAACATGTTTCTGGAATAAATTATGCCTGCAAACCAAGATTTTACTGTACTAGGAATGCTTCAACATAAATAATTTTTTTAAGTTGTGTATTTCTTTTTGAGAGACACCATGCACACGCGAGGAGAGGGGCAGAGAGAAAGAATCCCAAGTAGGGCGTGATCCCACAAACCATGAGACTATGACCTCAACCAAAATCAAGAGTTGGATACTTAACCAACTGAGCCACCGAGGTGCCCCAAAGTAAATGGTTCTTTTAAAACCCAGTCATAAATCACGTATTGTATGATTCCATTTACATTAAATATGCAAAATAACTGATTTTATTAAAAATGAGAAACAGTGGTTGAGTAGAGCCAGGTGAAGGAAGTGATTATAGAATGATTTCGGACGACATAACAACATTATATAGTAGTCAAAAAGTTATTCTTCAAGGCGCCTGGGTGGCTCAGTCGGTTAAGCGTCTGACTTCGATCAGGTCATGATCTCACGGTTCGTGAGTGCGAGCCCCGTCAGGCTCTGTGCTGACAGCTCAGAGCCTGGAACCTGCTTTGGATCCGATCCTGTGTCTCCCTTTCTCTCTGCTCCTCCCCTGCTCACGCTCTGTCTCTCTTTCCCTCAAAAATAATAAACATTCAAAAAAAATTTTTTTTTAAGTTTCCTTTCCTTCTCAGGAGCAGCTTCATCTATGTGCAACCAAAGGAAACACCCATCTTTTCAGAATTGGGTTAAAATGGTCAAATATCATGTGATACATACAAAGCCATAGATACAGTCCTTTAAACAGTGATTCTGGGGGCGCCTGGGTGGCGCAGTCGGTTAAGCGTCCGACTTCAGCCAGGTCACGATCTCGCGGTCTGTGAGTTCGAGCCCCGCGTCAGGCTCTGGGCTGATGGCTCAGAGCCTGGAGCCTGTTTCTGATTCTGTGTCTCCCTCTCTCTCTGCCCCTCCCCCGTTCATGCTCTGTCTCTCTCTGTCCCAAAAATAAATAAACGTTGAAAAAAAAAAAAAAATTTAATAAAAAAAAAAAAAAAAAAAAAAAAAAAAAAAACAGTGATTCTGTCAATTTTGGCTTTAGAACCCAATCCCTTTATGTGCCTCCCCACACTAGAAACAAGAATGACAATGATTTCTATAAAACCACTGTCATAAGCGGTTTTATTTAACCATCTCTACCCTATACATACGTTATCTGACTACCCACCCCTTTACCCCTTCTTCCCTTCCATGAAAACTAACTTGGGCCTTAACAAATACACACACACTTCATTCTTCCCACACTACCAAACCTAAAGGCAACTTGGAACATGGAAGAACAGAGACTATGTTGTGGTTGTATCAGGAAAAATCCCCATTTTAAAGACAGGAAATCTTTCAAAACCCAAGCAGATTGAAGGTAACAATCAGGTCCCTACTCGAAAGCCTTTCTTCCTAGAAGAGATTTTCTCCTCAGTGAATATGCTACTGTGCATAGACAGTATACCTAGACAAAGGTAACCTGAATTCAAGGACTAAATAAACTCAAATATAACTAAGCACCATACACCATCCATATACACCATCCATATTTCTCATTTGTTTTAAGCCCATTTCCCCTATTTCTCTTGGTGTATCACTTTAATTCTTACTGGTAACTATACTCAAAAGCAGTTAACAACAAAGTACCAACTATATTGTTTTAAATTTGATATGCAAGTAATTTTGAATTTTGTTAAGCATTCAACTCAGCCTTTTCCTACTTTCTGCCTTCACTGTCCTGCCCAAAGGGCTTTTTAAAGAACTACCAGGTTGGCTACTTGAGGTTACTGAAAACCTAACTCCCAGATATGATCATTAACTAGTGCATGTTTGATCAGTCTTTCCTATATTCTATTCGAATTACGTTTTCAATAAATACATATGGACCAACCTGGGAACTCAGAAACAAAGCTGTCAATTAAAAGTTCAACTTATTACAAATTACTGACATTACTGGAAATAGGAAAGACCAATTATAAATACCATTTTATTCTTTAGTGGGCATGTAACGGTTTACTTAGCCTAACCAAATTTAATAAACCTATCAAATCCTTTCCAAGAAAATCTTAATCTCTTTTAGAAAAATTTTCTCAGTAACAATCAGAGAACCAAGGGCCAAAATCCTTTGGGGGGGGGAATTCGTTAAATAACAACGCACAAAACAAATGTTGCTGGAGCTATTCAGATTCTCTTTTCACCCAAACCATTCATCATAAACTGTTCAGTGGAAGACCTACCTAATCACATGTTCACTAAATCTTCCTCAGAAAAAAAAAGTTATCTGGTCGGACACGTTTGGGAAATCCTGCATACTCTTGAAAATTTGCAACACACTGCAACTTTTCGTTAACGTTTCTGAGAAAAAGAGCCAACAGCAGGGGAGGGGCAGAAAGGGGGAGACACAATCTGAAGCAGCCTCCAGGCTCTGAGCTGTCAGCACAGGGCCTGACGCAGGGCTCGAACCAACCGTGAGATCAAGACCTGAGCTGGAAGTAGGACATTTAACTGACAGAAGCACTCCCACGCTGCATTTTAAAGGTTCTTAATCCCAATAGTATGCTTCAACTCAGCTAATGTAATGCAGTGACAACCACTGATCATTTACCCTTTCTTTAATTAAACTCTTACTTAATTTCATGGAGGACTGTGGTAAATAACTTTCATAAACTACTCCCCATACAGCTACATCAAGTTTCTAGAACACACTTACTCTTCATCATCATCGTCATCATCGTCATCTTCATCATCATCTTCATCGGCAGCAAGTTTTACTTTTTTCTTAAAAAATAATACATATATATACGTAAATATATACACACATACTCGTATACAAGTGCTGATCTTAATCACCAAGCCAAAGACCAAAATAAGAGATCTTTACACCTATACCTGTGGAACCTTGCTACCACTTCCAGGGGCAGAACGCTTTCCAGATATACTAAGGAGTTTCACATCCTCTTCCTCTTCATCTTCTGACTCTGCATCTTCCTCCACAGCTAAAATAAAAAATTATTTATTAGCTACGAATAAAACTCAACCAACAAGCAAGAACTCAGAAAAAAGAGCATAACATACAGTAAGGAGCATTTAAAAATTTTAAATGAACATTAAAAAAGAACTATGAAAACAGCAAATAGGGAACCGAAAATTTTTTTAAAAAGCAACTTTGAAGGCCAGCACTCTACTAGGCTTTAAATGAAAACAAAAACAAAAAAACAGGCTTTTCCAGTTTAAGTTACTCTATTTCCACTTCAACCTATTAATAAAGACAGCAGTACTAAAACTAAGCATGCTTTACAAAGTCCAAATTGGGAACAAAGTTAACTGCATTAAGAGAGAATAAACAGCACAATACATAACATACCTACTAAGTGCTGTCCACTAATATGCACAGGCCCTGAACCGCATTTCAACCGTAAGACCACAGGTGGTGTTATTTCAAAGCCCCCAAGGGAAACCTGAAAAGGAAAAACTTTTAAAAATCACTAAATATTGTGAAAACAAA